TCATTGACATTACAAAAGTGGCAACGAGTGTTCATTGACATCATAAAAAAACTAAGGTATGTCGGAATCTTTGTGTGAAGAGAGGGCGAAAATGAGGGATTTTAAAAGATGAGCAATAAAAAAGAAGAAAGAAAGACGATGAACACAAGAAAGAGAAGGAACGATAAAAGTGTTGTGGAGTAGTTTTCACAGTGGAGGCTTGTATTTCAATAAGTCGTCCTAAATTAGGTTCGACGTACAAAACGTTAGGAACTTGGAAAATAAGAGTCAATGACGCAGCAATCTAGTTTTGATGGTTGGTACTTCAATGTCCGATATCGTCTGACTCGCTCAACACCACTGAGTATTTATCGTTCCACCCACGAGGACCGAATATGGCACAAGGCCGGTTTTAATGTGGGTATCCCGAGCCCGTAGGCTCGACCAAAAATATAGCCTTTGAACCCGCCTAGACATGTTCAGGCCCTGTCTACTTCCCCGGACGAAACCTTGCCCTTCGGCAAAGCCTCGTCCGGGTTCCTCTCTGCTAATGCAGAGAGTTTGACAGAAGGCGTGCGCAGTCAGAGACCGCTCAACACCGTTCAGTATTTATCGTTCCACCCACGAGGACCGAATATGGTACAAGGCAGGTTTTAATGTGGGTATCCCCGAGCCCGTAGGCCCGGCCAAAAATATAGACTTTGAACCCGCCTAGACGGGTTCAGACCCTGTCTACCTCCCCGGACGAAACCTTGCCCTTCGGCAAAGCCTCGTCCGGGTTCCTCTCTGCTAATGCAGAGAGTTCGACAGAAGGCGTGCGCAGTCAAAGACCGCGAGACGCCACTGAGTATTTATCATTTCACCCACGAGAAACGAATATGGCACAAGGCCGGTTTTAATGTGGGTTTCTCCGAGCCCGTAGCCTCGGCCAAAAAAATAGCCTTTGAACCCGCCTAGACGGGTTCAGGCCCTGTCTACTTCCCCGGACGAAACCTTGCCCTTCGGCAAAGCCTCGTCCGGTTCCTCTGCTAATGCAGAGAGTTCGACAGAAAGGCGTGCGCAGTCAAAGACCGCGAGACGCCACTGGTATTTATCATTTCACCCACGAGAAACGAATATGGCACAAGGCCGGTTTTAATGTGGGTTTCTCCGAGCCCGTAGCCTCGGCCAAAAAATAACCTTTGAACCCGCCTGGACGGGTTCAGGCCCCTGTCTACTTCCCCGGACGAAACCTTGCCCTTCGGCAAAGCCTCGTCCGGGTTCCTCTCTGCTAACGCAGAGAGTTCGACAGAAAACGTGCGCAGTCAAAGACCGCGAGACGCCACTGAGCCGAATCATTTCTACCACGAGAAACGAATATGGCACAAGGCCGGTTTTAATGTGGGTTTCTCCGATATGGTATGACGGCCAAAAAAAGCCTTTGAACCCGCCTAAAGAGATTCATGGTAATGGTACTTCCCCGACGAAACCTTCCCTTCCAGGAAAGCCTCGTTGGGTTCCTTGATCGACGCAGCAAGTTCGACAGAAGGTTGAAATCTTTCACCGCGAAAACAATTTTTTAGCCAAACTGGGTTCTTTCAAGTCTTATTATCTGTTATCGAGTCCATTACAATAGAATGGGTTTTATGGTATAACCTAAATGGAAAAGAAAGAAAATGTCAGCATAAAGATTATGAATGGTAATGGTAATTCTATTAGACGTTTCCTATCCATTTAACATTTTGCTGTTCATTGATCGGAGTTTGCAATACAGTCTTTATTTGAAATCTATAACGTCATTTAAAAAATTTTTTTTAGCCAAAGGATGTTTTTGCAAGTCCAGTAGCTATTATCGTTCTTTCCAGTACTGATGGGTTTTTCCTTACTAACCTATTATGTGAAGTGGTGTGGAATGTCAGCATCTTGATTATGTCATTATGTTCTCTTCTAGTTAGTTACGTGTACTATCCATTTAAGTTGTTGCTGTTGTTGATATGGTTTGGTATACAGTCTTTATTTGTGATTCTATAACGTCATTCAAGAATCTTCAGAAAAGGATGACCTTTATTGCTAGAAAAATAAAGACAAAAGAAAAAATAAAGAAAAAATAAAATTTATTGAAATGAGTAAAAAATAAAGACTGAGTGAAGAAAGAAAGAAAGAAAGAAAGAAAGAAAGAAAGAAAGAAAGAAAGAAGATATATTGAAATGAGAAAAATAAAGACAAAGAAAAAAGAAAGAAGAAAGCAAATTTATTGAAATGAGTAAAATAAAGGCAGGGAAGAAAGAAAGAAAGAAAGAAAGAAAGAAAGAAAGAAAGAAAGAAGATATATTGAAATGAGAAAAATAAAGACAAAGAAAAAAGAAAGAAGAAAGCAAATTTATTGAAATGAGTAAAATAAAGGCAGGGAAGAAAGAAAGAAAGAAAGAAAGAAAAGAAAAGAAAGAAAGAAAGAAGATATATTGAAATGAGAAAATAAAGACAAAAGAAAAAGAAAGAAGAAAGCAAATTTATTGAAATGAGTAAAATAAAGGCAGGGAAGAAAGAAAGAAAAGAAAGAAAAGAAAGAAAAAGAAAGAAAAAAAGAAGATATATTGAAATGAGAAAAAAATAAAGACAAAGAAAAAAAAAAGAAGAAAAGCAAATTTATTGAAATGAGTAAAATAAAGGCAGGGAAGAAAGAAAGAAAGAAAAGAAAGAAAGAAAGAAAGAAAGAAAGAAATTGAAAATAAGACAATGAAAAAAAAAAAACGAAATCAAAAGAAAAAGGAAAAACAAAAAAGCCAAAACCTGAAAAAAATAAAATACGAAACAGGAACAAAAAACAAAGAAAACTAATGTTTGGGTTTCGATCAAAAAGTCTCCAATTCCTTCTGTTCAGTAATTAGGCTCCATATACGATTATTTGTTGTTGTTTTCTTTTTGTTTTGTTTTTTAAAACTTCTGTAAATACTGTATTTATTTACTTTGCCGAAGATTTCTCTATTATTGATTCTTTTACGCATGCGTATTTGCAATTACTATTTCTCCTCATTGAAACTTGACTGCCAAATACAACCGACAACGACATGAGACGAATAAAAAAGAATAAGCGAATGCGATGCAAACGATATGTTCTCCGCCCTCCTCCTTTCTCTCTCTCTCTCTCTCTCTCTCTCTCTCTGTGTGTGTGTGTGTTTGTGGGTGTGTGTGTGTGTGTGTGTGTTCTAGGCATAAGGGCGTACGTATGTGTGATTATACAATAGGCGCTTATGGAGCTTGTCGATGGTAATTTTTCGTGTCCAGCCCTAGAAAGGATATTTATTGTAGCCCGTTTTAATTGAACAAAACAAAACATGTATATGTTAAATACCTCCAGTCAATTAAGATCAGTAGCCATAAGACCCATGTTTGGTACAGCATCAATGCATTTATTATTATTATTATTATAATTATTATTATTATTATTATTATTATTATTATTATTATTATCGGTATTAACACGAAGTGTAGTCATTTTAGTTAGTAGTAATTTCAGTACTCTTCTTAATTTGAAAGTTATCTAGTAATTTTAACAGAATCTAGATAGAAACTTGGAAATACATTGCTATCAGCTAAGAATATCCATTATCTTATTCTGTTACTCTTCACTCGCTCTTTGCCTGTATCTTCTTATTTCTCCCTTATCTCTTCCAACTAATCTGAAGACTTTTCAGAAAAGATACCATCATCGAAATATATGGTATGTATATACGAAACACAATATACCCATAATGGCACGCAGTTTGATAAGGATGAACCAGACGCAGACACCACACTACTACTACTACTACGACTACTACTACTACTACTACTACTAATAATAATAATAATAAGTCAGGACCTGTAGCAATTTTATTGGATTTTACAATACACACAGACAGAAAAAAGCTAATCAATCAGACACTGTGATCAGAGACCGCAAATAAGCCTTCTTATTGACATGTGAGTCCCTGAAGATTGTAATGTATCTTTGAAGATTTAAAAAAAAAAATATATCAAAATACAAGGATCATGAAATCAAAATCTCAAAAATATGGCACATGAGGACATCAACAATTCCAGTTGTAGTTGGAGCCCTCGAATTGATTGGAAAATGTTCCGATGTGCATATTGAGGGGAATCCTGATAGTCCAAGCCTTGAAGAAATACAAAATAAATGTAGTCACAGGTACATCTTAAACATTATGAATGGTTTTTATATATATAAAACTAGCAGCATGTCTCGGCGTTGCCCCAGCTCGATTAAAAAATCGTACGACTCATACAGCAATCGCTATCACTTGACTTAAAATATTTTTGCCCTTCCTTGCCTTTAAAGGAGTGCCCTTTGCCGTGCTGATGTTGCTACATGTCTTACTTCTTGCTTATCTCACACTGCGAATTTTTTCTAAGCTCTATTCTAAACATTAAATCTGTTACGAAAAAAGAGCTAAACAAAATGAACACAAAACGATCAGCTTTAAAAAAGGACTCGTCACTGGAAAAACCGAATGAAAAAAGAATGTTAACAACAAATACTTTTTCACACACAACCCAGTTCTGCGGAATCAGAATCAATGTTGAGTTTAAGCAAGCGAATGAGCCAATTGGAGTAAAGTGCCATGCAGATTTAAATTTTTCCCACTTGTGACGAATGCAGCTATCGATTGTTTTTGCATGCTGGTTAACATTCGTGTCAGTCAGCTGTTGGTTCTCACGCTGGCCAATAGAATCTTCCTGCCTATTCGTGGCAGCCAGCTAGAGGCTCTCACTCTGGCCAGTATAAAATGGCCGCAAACTACATGAAAACTTCCATAGATGCATGAAAAATCGATTATTTCCACTATCGATGGGAGTTGGGAAATGCAAAGTCGGTCTTGGCCTTCCCGCTAACTTGGGACATGTGCATGTAAATTTTGGTGCAAATCCGTCGAAATTTAAGTAATTTTAAATAGACATGTAGAAATTCCATGGGTGTTGACAACTATGATAATCCGTTATCTCATACATTTGCTCTTCTCTAACGCTTTTCCTATATAAGCTTACGGCCACATCACATTGAAACAGCGGTCCCCGTCCAATCACTGGAGTTAAGCAACGTCGAGTCTTGTTAGTACCTAGATGGGTGACCGCTTGAGAATACCAGGTGCTGTAAGCGTGAATGTGCGGGTGGTGTAATAGATAACGACTCGGAATTGTTAACTGGAGAGCTGAGTTCTAATTCCAGTCGGGTTCGTTATATTCGCTAACGCCCAAATTCCCTTAGGAAAGGCAGGAATTCAACTCTTTTCTCACCAAGTATGGGGGACGAGCAGGATTTTTATCACTAAACGATTATGATATCCCCCCCCAAAAATAAATAACTAAAATTCTTACAATCTAAAAATATTTTCTGGTGTTAAATAAACTGCAAAGGGTTGATAAGCCGTAGAAAACGGATCAACCAATCAAATTTTCCAGTATTTTCTTATTCCTCACCTCTGTCTCTCTGTCTGTCTGTCTGTCTGTCTCTCTCTCTCTCTCTCTCTCTTATCCTTTTCAAATCTTTCAAAAGATATACGATAAGAATAAACCAGGCACATACCTTACATCATCATCATTATTATTAGCATGAATATTAGTCGTGTTAGTAGTAATTTCAATATTCATTTAAACGTGAAAGTTTTCTTGAGATTAGCTAGCCAGATTATTGCCAACTTTGATTATACGTTATTTCAAGTCTCTGCTCTTCTCTGACCATTATCCAGTATCTTCTTCTTATTTCCCTTATTCCTTTCAATCTTCATTACATAAGGTTCATAAAACATACAGGAGTTACTAGGATGAAAAAACGAAAATGCTTTTGATACACCGTAATACTTTCTAACGTTTTCGATAAAGATTCTAATAAGAAATTCCATGCGTTTTTTTAATTATTGCATTTTATTCCTAGAAAGCAATGGCTTAACAATGAACATAACAACTATTTACAGAAAATAGGTTGAACAAAAGTTTAAGACAGAGAGAGAAAAAGAGAGAGAGAGAGGGAAACCGTCTTTATTCTTCCCATCTGTTTTGCGTCGCTGTTGAAGAATTTCATGAATAAAGCTGCGTTGTTATTAAATACAAACTTTTCTCTTAACAAGTGGTTGCGACTGTTATTTGAACACGTCTCGCTGATTCTACTTTCCGGGTCGTTGAACAGAGAAAATCAGTTTTGTTTTTTGTTCTGATTTATGCACATAAGCTTGCTAAAAAAAAAAAAAAAAAAAAACCTTACTATGAGAGAGATTCCTGGTGACCCACAAAACTTTCAACAGTTTTCCGAACAAACTCATTGGTTTTATATTCCCAATTGAAGATGCCAAGGAGTTTTCTCCTGCATTTGTTCCCAAATGCTTGGATCTTTCTCTCTGTTTCTGCCAACAGTGTCCATGTTTCACATCCATATAAGAAAATGGAGACTACCAACGATTCGTACAGTCTGTACTTTGTTTGAAAGCTGATTTTGGTCCTCCCTATTCTTGCCTATTTGGCCATCGCCGCGGCAATCCGTGTACGAATTTCCGAGTTGCAGACACCAGTTAATTCCCGTTCATAGTAATGTTGACACAGGTGTTACTGTTTGTCCTATTCACCATTATTTTGCATTCCACATGCCCCTGATCTTTCAGAAAGCTTTTGTATACATACATACATACATACATACATACATACATATATATATATATATATTTATTGTATATATATATATATATATATATATATATATATATATATATAACATTGTCAAAGATTTTCCTTTAATGTTTAAAAAAAGCTGATAAATGAAATATACATATTTATATTTGATATTTTAATAATAATTTTTAAATAATTAAAGTAATTCCATTACATTTATTTGTTGTAAAAGTATAGTCTATTAGTAATTAGAATTAGGAATAATATTTTAAAATTTTAAAATGGGGAAGTCGTTGATTTGGGATGCGACCTGTGCAGATACATTTTCGGCTGGTAATTTGATCAGTTCCGTGGTTGAGCCAGGATCCGTCGCCCGGGACGCAGAGATAAAAAAAAAAAAATAGTTAAATATTCTTCTCTTGCTGATAGATTTTTTTTTTTTTTTTACTCCTGTGGCTATAGAGACTTCAGGGGGTTATTGGCCCTCGTTCGATGGCGTTCCTTCGGAGGATTGGCGCGATTGCGTCTCGATTAACGGACTAGCCTCGTGAAACGGAGTGGCTCTTGCAGCGTGTCTCACTGACAATGGTTCGAGGTAATGCTTTCTCCATCATTGCGGCTGGCGGATGTTAGAAAAAATTGTTTATTGTTACGTTGTTCTGGAATTGTCATCAGTCGTCAACTGTAATTGTTTTGTTTCAATAAATTTTAATTTGTTTGAAAAAAAAAAATTTTAATTGTAGTTTAATACGACGTACTCATATTCAAACAAACCTTTTAGGAAAAATCTTTATGTATACAATTACAAAATTAACTGCAAAACAAAAGTGTCGAAAAACTTTTTGTCGTTGACGACATGCGATGAACGGATGTCATCATTCGTTGGAAAAGACACCCCTACCCTACCTTTACTTAACCTCTTTTCGAAAGTAACACATATTTTGATACAATTGTTATCAGTGAAAATGAATACCCTACCACTCCTTGTCAAAATGATTGAATTTCCCCCGTATCATTAGAAACTAATATTACGAATGTATGTGCTTATAAAACGCAGTAAATTTCAAATTAAGTTATTCTAAAATTCGCTTGAAAATGAAACAGGACTAGGGACTTTAATTTAATTCTATAATTGAATTTGAAATTTTAGTTTCTGTTTTGAAACGTGGTAATTCCTGTGTAGCGATAGAACCACATTTTTAAATTAGTAAGTTTATATATATATATATATATATATATATATATATATGTGTGTGTGTGTGTGTGTGTGTGTGTGTGTGTGTGTGTGTGTGTGTGAACATAGAGGCGACAGTCTGTTTCATGCTAGATGCAATACTGTCGCCTCTAAGTGTTGACTTCTATATTCACTTTTATATTTACACATGCTCTATCTCTGATATTGAGCACTTTATCCCAGAAATATAGCACATCTTAAGACTATATATATATATATATATATATATATATATATATATATATATATATATATATATATATATATGCACAATTTCGTGCATCAATTCGATCTTCAGACCAAAGCACTGTCTATGTCTATAAATGTTCTGTCTCTGATATTCAACCACTTTCTTCTATAAATATAACATGTATATTTATGTACGTACTGTATGTATATATGTATGTATATAGCTAGCCGACCGGTAAAGAACGCCGTATCAAAAGATGATTTCTCCTACAAAAGCGGGAGGACAGAGGTTTGATCCCCGTCGAAGAGTATATTTTCTTCATTAAGATTTAAATAAAAATAAAAATGGGGTGTTTATTTCAAATACGAATATCCAATAGTAATAACGTCGGAAGTAATATAGCATGTATATACATGTATGTAGGCTGTTTAAAATTTATTTTAATATATATATATATATATATATATATATATATATATATATATATATATATGGCTAAATTCAGGTAGTCCTCAAGTTACGACGTACAGGTGTTAAGACGACTCGTACTTATGACCATTGTGAGATGACCAAATATATATGTATTATTAAGGGCATTATGTTAACGCGGGTAGTGCATGACAAAGAATTCCTGGTTGGTTCGTACGAGCACCGGGGATTCCAGGCCTTATCTCAGCTTACTTTTCAAACCATCAGCTAAGCAACGATAACCAGTCATTAGACCTGAAGTCAGATTTTATGTGTATGTCTAGTGGCTTTCAAAGCGTAAACAGAGTCAGTTGGCATCGCTGTCCACTTTTGACAACAATCTGATACGTATCATTTAACACACTTTGTATGTCTGACATGTTAATTTTATCGTAATAATCTTTTGTGTCAGTCGCTAGGAGAATAATCTGATATAGAAATATCGGAGAATTTTGCCTTTGAAAAAGTCTTTCTCAATGTCTGGATTTCCATTTTGCAGTATTATTTTATTTTTATATCAGTTCTTAGTTAATAGTACAATAACATGAAAGATGACAGGATATTTATTAACATTTGTTCTTGTTATTTACACTATTTATATTCGGACTATCGTCCTCATTTTTTTTTGTCATCACAACGTTTCGGCCGCTGTGCCCTCTGGCCTTCTTCAGATGTATATCGATCTGGGTAACCTGCTGAATTTAACCCTTTATTTAATCTACGGGGGTAGACTGTTCTTGTTGCACTGCTTATGTCTAGGGATATCCGGTCTAGTGGTTATTTTTATTTTTTCAGTTCAGTGTTTTCACTCAGTGGAAACAGACGATAAATAACTGAAGAGTCCTAAATAAATTTCAGAAATTCAGACAGGCTTATTGTTGTTTAATGTTTATGTTTGCCGACTCTCAAATAAATAAATAAATAGCGAAGTCTTTTTACGGACACTGAGGGCATTATGTTAACGAACGTATATAAATTTGTTGTATATATATATATATATATATATATATATATATATATATATTGCCGACATTGTCAAAGATTTTCCTTTAATGTTTAAAAAAAAGCTGATAAATGAAATATACATATTTATATTTGATATTTTAATAATAATTTTTAAATAATTAAAGTAATTTTATTACATTTATTTGTTTTAAAAGTATAGTCTATTAGTAATTAGAATTAGGAATAATATTTTAAAATTTTTAAATGGGGAAGTCGTTGATTTGGGATGCGACCTGTGCAGATACATTTTCGGTCGGTAATTTGATCAGTTCGGCGGTTGAGCCAGGATCCATCGCCCGGGACACAGAGATAAAAAAAAATAGTTAAATATTCTTCTATTGCTGATAGATTTTTTTTTTACTCTTGTGGCTGTAGAGACTTCAGGGGTTATTGGCCCTCGTTCGATGGCGTTCCTTCGGAGGATTGGCGCGATTGCGTCTCGATTAAGGGACTAGCCTCGTGAAACGGAGTGGCTCTTGCAGCGTGTCTCACTGGCGATGGTTCGAAGTAACGCTTTCTCCATCATTGCGGCTGGAAGAGGATAGACAAAAATTGTTTATTGTTACGTTGTTCTGGAATTGTCATCAGTGTTCAACTAT